AGAACAAGGGCTAGCGACTGTGAGACTTACATAAATTCATTTTGTTGGAGTCATTAAAAGAAACGAAATAGAGATGCCCATCACACACAACACGTCATCTCCTGTAGGTGGTGGCATAGGAGGCACTGTTCATCTCTTTTAGGATGTGACTGGTGGAAGTGACTTTTTGATAATAGTTAAGCTACAAAAATGAAGATGGACAATGTGACAAGAGGGAAAGTGACCGTCCATTAAATAGAAAAAGGTTAATTAACTGCACAAATACTATTAAAATAGGATGATTACTGAATAATATATTCTTCCAACGATATGACTTTGTATTATTACTGTAGATTATGGTCTAGAATATAGAATATTATAAAAATATTAATATTGTTTCTAAGTAAGTTAAAGTGCATTTCAAGTTTTGTGAAAGGGTTTCAGAAGGAAGGAAGAAAATACTTTGCAAGAGACAATATTTTTTCCTCAGTCAATAAGATAGTCCTTTTAATGATGCAGTCCAGATCCTTGTCTCTAACACTAAAAGGTTTGTGTGAACACTGCGCGATGTTAGCGATATTAGTCTAGAGCAGTCGTCATAATGGTCTTATGCTCCCAGTATTTATGTATTCATAGTGTTTTCTCTTAAGATGTAGTGAATTTGTCATGATGGATTAGGGCCTTTTTGATAGCAGTTAGGGAATTAAGAGCCATGTATTGGTGTTGATTTTAATATCATTTCACAGTGATGCAAGCAGCAGCTTCTTGCATAAATATGGACAGTCAATTGCAGCTTTTTAAAATTACATTTTTAGAGAGTTTGAATTTTTTAAGTGAAGAGAGAACATTTGTAGGGAGCTAGTTTTTGCAAAACCAGAGCATCAGTGATGCAGGTTCCCTTTACAAAAGTGTCCCTATTAAATTAACTCTTCCTCTGAGCCCACTAACTTATGACATTATAGGCATCAATTTTGCATAAAGGTAGAAAAGATAAAATTCTCTGTTCTCTCATCCATTACCCTGTTCTAAATCGTGTAGAAGTCTTTGGACTTCAGTGTAGTCATAGTGTTCTAACATTAGCATAGTTGGAACATTTGTTAAAAAATGCTTTTGGACTGTCCTTATTACACATAGTAATTCTCCATCTTTCACTATCCATCTGTGAGCAAGAACCTATCTTTCATGTAGGAAAATTTACTTAAATATACCTTTTTATGTCAGTGTTGTTGTATGTAGTATCAGTATTGTATCTTGTATCTGAGATACAAGTTAATGTACTTTTCAAGTAAAACCAGTACTAGAGAGACAGTGCATGTTTGCAGATGTGCAGCAGGTGTTCTCAGTTTCATATACTGGAGTAAGTCTGTCTCTCACTTGCTATGAAACTATGGCTTATGTACTATGTTTGCTTGAGTGTCAAAGCTAGTTTTGACAGTTACATGCTTTAGTGTCTCTGCAGGCTTCATTGTTACAGGTTGATGAAAATCAGATAGACACATAAATTCAGATAAGTAAAAATGTCAAAAATCTCCTGATGGCTTGTTTTTTTTAGTAGCATTTTCAGCCTTTGTTTTCACATCTTGTTCACTGGAAAACTTGAACTAAAAATGGAGAAGGTCAGTACCCATTACAAACAGATCACTGTCTTCAGGAACAGCAGGGTAACTTACTTTGTCTGTGCTCTTGCAAAACAACCAGGTTCCAACTGCATGTAGTTAATAGGAGAGAAATTTGAAGTTATATAGTTCCTCCAAGATTTGCGTTCTTTATATGGATGTAGCTCTCTTGTAGAGATTTACTCACACGGAATAAAATTATTTCTCCAGTGGATTAGGTTGTTTGAATCTCCATCATGCTTTTGCAGAATGCATTTTTGAAGTACTTTAAAATTAGGGTTTTTTTACTTATTTCTTCTTCATGCTTACTATGATACTCTGGTATTCCTGGATGTTTTTATAACTTTTAAAGATTAGATACTTTTTTTTAATCTCATATGTAATTTCCCCTGATATGCAGGTCCCTTGGAATTGGTGGAAGCTTTAGAGCATGGAGGGTGTCCCACAGCAGGATGTAAAGGAGTTGGGCACATTAAAAGAGCAAGACATATCGGCCATCATAGGTATGTGCTATGAAACTGTATTTTTATTCTTTCAGTTGAGTGATGAGTGCACATGAATTTCTTTAATTGTTGTTCACAAGAAAACAGATCCAAGCTGGAAAAAAATAGGAAATCTTGTAAACCTAAATATGCAATGATTGCAGTTGCCATGGTGAGCATGCTGAAATAAACATTATCAATCTGTAACTTCATTTCACCAGGGTGTGCTGGGATAAGATTTGTCGAACATCATTTTTTGTCACAATTGATAGATTCAGTTACTCTGTATTTTGTTCCTATGAGGATTCCTCAGCTTGCTGTTCAGATTGCAGAATGTTACAGACAGATATGTATAAAACAATATACTTTGAACCTTTTGAAATATGAGGCCACTGATTTTATTATGGGTTGGATGTTTTTGTTCTGCTTGGGTGAGGATTTGCTTGTTGGCTTGGAAAAATGCTAAAAAGGAAATTCCGATTGATATATGCCCGAATGACAGCCTGAACATATTGCTGTTTGTACCTAGTGTTTCTAAAGATGCTTTTGTGGAACACCTTCTGAAATATAATACAGAAATGTGGACATCCCAAGCTGTCCTAGAGAAGAGTTGGCATAGGGAGAGCAGTAGCATGGGAGAATGGAATAAGGGACAGAGAGACAATGACAAAGTAAATGGAAAACATTTACTAAGTCAAAATTTTATTATTTTTAAAATATTTACAGTATGAGGTGAATCCTGAATATTCCAGTAAGGGATATACAGTTAATGTAACATGTTCAGTTGAGAATTAAGTTTCATAAATATCATCCTATTATCTTTTAGCAAATTAGAGCTTCCAGAAATTTTCTTGGAATTTTTCCATTACACAGTCCTACAATCCTCGAATGTCATACCACTTCGTGCTTTCTGCTCTCATATGGTTAGAGAATTTGATTATTTGTCTGTTCATGTTTTTAAAGTATATTATTAAACTACCGTGATCCAAGAGTTCGCTCTGCAATCTTTTCATGGTTTTGGTGAAAGAATTGTGTCCTGTTGACTAGAATTATGCTACAAGGTTTTGATGGCGTATCAGCACTGGTTGAAGTCCTGACTCATCCCTAACAAAGATACCTGCCAGCAAAACTCACTGTGTTGTTACATGTTTAGTGTGCAAAAGGCATCTTTTGCTGCAGGAAGTTCTTTCCTATCTACAGCAGAGGTATTGTGTTTGTCTTGTTAGGCAGAAGAACTCCTGATGCTAGTACAAGCTTTATCTCCAGGAAGGGACGTGGCTAGATTAGCTCCAGTGACAAAACCCATTGTAGTATGAACTGTGGTGGTGGTATCATGACACAGTATGCCGCATTGCTGTCTTTCAGATTATTCTCATCCTTTTTCTGTCCATGTTTCTTTTTCTTTGTTTTTTTTTTTTTTTTCTGTTTTTCTACCTTCCCTTTTGAAAAGCTGCTTTGCGCTCGATCAGTAGGATAAATCCTTAAACAGTCAAGTTAGTATTTAAGAGGTTACCATCCTTCAGTTAGCATATGGTAACCTACTGCATTCATGTTCTCAGTCCACTGCAAATGTGAAGTAAACTAGACTTGCCTAAAAAGCTTCCTGGCTGCTTAGCTGAAACCCATTTTATTTCATATTCCAGTAGACTGAGTCTTGTATGATTTATTAATGCACCTGATCTGTAAGGCAATAAATTCCAGTTCCTTACTATGTGCTATCTCAATTACTTAGAATCAGGTGAACATACCCATTCTTAGCCCAAGGCTGAAACTTTTAAAAAAAAACAAAAACAAAAACCAAAAACCAAAAAACCCGTAAGTGAATGTGTCAGAAAAGTTTTTAATTTATGATCTCTCTAAATAAACATTGGCACTAAAAATTCTAATGTTTCACAGGGAAGGGATGAGTAAGAGCTATATGTCTAGTTAGTTCATGTAGCCTTTGCTTTTATAACTAGATTTTCCATGGTATTTAAAGTTGTTATACTTATTTGTCCTGAATATTAAGAAAAGAAACTCATGGCAATCTATTGTGTTTTATTTTTACTATGGTCTTAGCAATCCTATTATTTGCACATTAACTGATAATTCAAGGGGTTGAAAATATAACCAAAGAGATTTTGTTAGTCATAAGACAGGTATTTGCTGTTTCATAGCAAATAAATTAACACCATTAAGTATCTTACTCACTAACTGTATTGGTTTGCCCTCTGTGCTGATACTGTGGTTTTTTCCGTGAGCATTTCTGAGGAAAATAATGAGATTTGTTATTTAACTGGAGTCTACAGACTTGAGGGTCCAGGTCACCCCAAAAACTCTAATGTTGTACCATCACTTTTTTCCTGAATTAACAAAGACATTTTGAAATTGGTATAATTATCCACATCAGGTAGCAGTCCCTTGGCTCTTTTATCTTGGCAACCTTGAAATGTATTTAACCATGCTTATCTTTTTTTTCATGATGAGGTACATCGTCTGTCTACAGCATAAATTCCTGTGTGCAGAAAAGATGATAATTTAAAATGCTAAGTAGTTCTGAAATAATTTTGAGAGCTTGTTCCTTAGGAACCAGATGAAAGCCTTGGTGATTAATTATGTAGTGGGGTTAAAGCATTTATTTTTTGGAAAAGTTGATGTTAATAAGGACTTGGTATCTATCACCAGTTGATCTAGGGTTTTATGCTGCGCAGTTGAAACTGAGACTGATGTGCAGGTTGGTAGCATTATGCAGATCACCTGCATATTTATGATTGTGAATTGTATGCTCTCTGATGTTTAATGCATGCAATAATTTTCAAGTTCAAGCAGTAATGCAAAGCAGTCAGTTGTAAACAGGTTATTAGTGTTTTGGGTCAACTCTCCATGAATAAAGATTTTTACCAGAAACTGTACATGCGTTATGTGTAAGTTGAAGTGAACTGAATGTGCCGTGGTGGAGGCTGTGTTGTAAGAGAACTGCAGCGCAGAAACTTGGGAAGCCTCAGCTCAACAGGATGTCACACCTACTCGATCAGTGTCTGTTGAAGTAATTCTTGTCTGATTTTGATGCCAGTCTCAAGTTTCATTTTATCTTTCATGTAAGGTCATTGGCCCCAGCCGAATCTGTTATAAGCTACTCTTGAGTCAGGTTTAAGCTGTTGAAGCAGCTTTGTCCTAAAAAAGAATGCTTTGATGATAAACATGCATTGTAAATTGTGAAAGAGAACATTTGTATCACTTGTTTCCAGACTAGTTAAAAACGTTTTCATAAAGTCAACTGAAGTAAAGACATCACTTAACAAAAATCCAGCAGAAAAAAAAGAATACATCCCCCAGATGTTGTCAGGACGTTTTTGCTGGAGGTTTCTTGCTAATCACATATCACTACTACCAGCAGATGCAGTCATCTGGATATAGGCTGCTCTAGATAAAGTCCAATACATCAGTTAGTCCAATCTATCTGTTTAACACATCAAGGAAGATAGTTTGAGCAAATCCGGGTGAATTTTCCTGAAGCTGCCATACAACCTCATCCTTTGTCAGTGCTTGGCAATAACCTGCACCTGAAAGGCACCTGAAAGGCAATGAGGAGCTGGGGTTTCAACCAGTACAGCTAAACCAGGAGACCTGTCCGTGGCTTCACACAGGTTTGCAAAATATTCCAAGCAGTCATAAAGACTAATAATCTATATTAAAAAATACTTTAATATTAACGTTCTTTTACCAGAGTACCACCTTACTCCTCCTCTTCAGAGAGAATGCTGGCTTGCTCCCTTCTCATGTGAGGTGTAGCTGAGCCGAGTAATCCAGTTGACACTGTGCTTCAGAAACTTTGCATACTACTAGAAGATAGGAGCATCTCCAGATGTCTGGAGAAGACTAAGGTCCATGCCCACCCACCAGTAGCCCAGTTTTATCCTGATACCCTTGAACTGTAGAAAAAAAAGATATGTGTGTAACCCTACCTTGAGATAGATCTTGGGAGTGATAGAAGAGCAGTTGCAAAATAACCACAAATAGGATATGCTACCTCAACACTTCTGTTCCATTGGACAGTTCTGGAAAGGGCTGATTATGTAAAACGTCTGACTTGAAAATCCCACGCCTGTGATCCCAGGAATTCTTCAGAATGATATATAAGAAGTAGTAATCGGTGCATTGGGTTTTTCCTTTATTGATCTTTCCTGATTCGATAAAAACAGAAGCTTATTTTAACGCTCAGTTTTCACTCAGCCTGTGCAGGACTCTGGAAACAGTGGCTCCCTTTCCTCAAAAAACTGTTATGGACATGTGTATTGCCAGCCACTCTGCTGCCATTTCAGTAGGATGCAAAGTGTACTGCAGATAGCTAATTGCTGTGCTGTGTTGATCCTTCAACATTTAGAGATGGCTGATTACTCTCCTGGGCAGGGGGGGGTCAGGTGGTATTAATGTGAATATTTGTTTACTGAAGCCTACTGAAGCAGCTCAGATGATAATTGAGTACCTGCATGTTGGACTGTTTTCAAAGCTATGAAGCAGTGCTGGAGGGTGTTCAGTCCTGTCAGATGTATAGTAGAGGTTTCAAATTGAGTACCCGCTGCTGCTTCTGCTTCTTGCCATTCTCCCCGTGCCTCTGGCAGACCTTGGTACCCCCTAGTCAAGGACATCTGATCATTTTGGAAACTGCCTTCTGAACTTTGCTGTTTTCAAAATAGTGTGCTAAGGCAAACTGCAAGCTGGAGTAGAAATCCAGGTTTAAGTTGGCAGAAGAGTTAAAAATCCTAATTTAATATTAAATAATCTAAACATCAAGACTTCTGAGTCCTTGAGATGAGTTGTCTCTAAAACTTAACAGTCCTATATAAATCAAATACTTTTATTATGTAGGAATAACAAGATTAATTTTTTATTCTTTGTAGTAGACAAGTTAAACTGAACTGAAGGCTGGAGGCATTGAGATTCAGGAGGATTTACTGATTGATCCGAAGCCATGTAACTCATACACAGGTTCATTCATGCTGTGTTTTGTTGAAACAAAGCTGACAGTGGAAACCGTGAGGGTTCTTTTTGTTGCCCCTAGTAACATCAAAGGACTATCAAGGAGTTTTTAAAAAATGATACAGTAACTCGAATGATTAATTACAAAGAAAAACTCATCTGAATCTAGTGTTCTAAAGCATCGTTAATATTATAACTATTGTTGACTGAAATTGTCATTCAACTTCTGTTTTTCCAGAAAATACTAAAGGAGGAGGCAGTATATAAACAGGCAAGTTCTAATGAAGGACTGAATTTTGAGGCTTTTTCTTGTTTTTTAATTTAAAACACATTAGTGGTGATGGTAAACAGAAGACCTGCTGGAGATGAAATTCTATTGTCAGATTTCATTGTGGTGTAAGGCTTGTTTAATAATACACAACTGAAGTTAAATACCACGTTGGTAGTGTTTAGTGTTTCCTTGAGACAACACTCTAACTATTTAAAAACACTAAGCCTCAAAACAGCCCTGTGAACATAGGAAGCCAAAAGAAGATTACATGCAACGGCAGAACTGAGATTAACCAATATATTCCTGAGTTTCTGATAATTGTCTTTCATCACAGTGGGATGAGTTTGTCACAGCGAGAACTTAAATCCCTCTATAGCATTGGCTGCTTAAAACCTTTTTCTGAATAGAAGCCTGTATCTTTCATCTTGTAGTTCATTTGAAAGGGAAAAAAGACATCATTGTGATAGATGCAGCAGTATAAAGAATTGAGAATATAAAACAACTTCCCCTCTTTCCTAGTGTTCCTGTTTTCTTCCGCATATTTCAGTTAATGGTTTTTTGTTCTTTTAAGACATCTGGCAGAGGCTAGTCCTAAGACAGACAAAACCAGGAGGTTGAAAAATAAATGTAAGTAGAGGTATATAAATAAATCTAAAATAAAATGCCAAATTCTGCATAAGAGAAGTTAAAATAAGAAGTAAATGCTCCAAGTTGATTTTCTATTTGTATATTCTGTTCCATGTCTTTAAAACAATTTCATTAACAAAAAATACCCTATTTCAAATGTAGTGCTTTAGAGTCCAGCCACCCATTTGGCTATATCTTACTCGGCTGTGTAAACTCCTGGTATGAAGGTTCTCATGGCAAAAAACTTCAGTGCCTGTATCTCGGAGGAGGTGCTGGGGACAGCCACCCAATTCCTCAGAAGGCGGCAAAGATGACTGTTCTATGCTTCATTAGGTCACCTGGGGATATGGCTGTATATCCCTTGAAAACACTGTACAGGCTGTTGTGGAACGTCGTCTGCTTGGAGTGGCCTTAAACAGGGATCTCATCTTGATTAGAAGAGCAGAAATTGTATTCTACTGGCATGTTTTTTCCTCCATAGTTCAAATTCAGCACAGCTATACAAGGATTTTTAAAAAAAAAAGGTTGATACTGTCTTGTTTCCAAATGAACCAACTGAAAAAATCAGACATGCTGTTGGACTCCTGTCTTGATAACTCCAGCAAGGACTGACTGACTTGGCCTGCGTAGCCTTAAGGAATTTTCTCCTTTTATGCTAGTGCTGAAAGAAATGTAAATTTTCACCAACTTTTTGTTTATGTTGGTGAGACCAAAATTAGGTCACCAATATTGGCTCAGCCTCGTGATAGGAGTTGATTCATACTCACTCTGAATCCAAAGCTTCATCGGTAAAGGAAAAGGAGAATGTGCAGCATATTTTGAATAAAAGGCCTTTTTTTATGCTGTGCTTTGTAAAACAAACATGATAATGGAAGCTGTTGTTCTTCTATTTATTTTTTGTAATTTGGAGGTGGCAGGGCGTATGGCTGGCAAGGTAGACTTGTTTATATTAGACAGTTCTGTTTGGAAATCATGCATGTAAAAATCAGTGAAACAAACATTGCAGTGGTTTATGGAAAGGCAGATAGTTATATTCTTGAAAAGAAAATAATCAAAATCACAGGACATGGTTTTTTTTACATTTTACCATTATAGAGGTCCTTGTCATAATACAGGTGAGTAAGAAAGCATAATTTCAGATTATAGTTAGTGTCATAGCTCATGAGCCACAGATGTGCATCATGAGCTATGATGCATGTGAGCATCATGTTTAGTATAGCTTCTCCTGTATCTTAAATAGAGATTTGAAAACTTGAGCATGTTGTTATTCACTGTTGTGGCATATATATACCTTTCAGAGTTTAGGATATTATCTTTGCAGTGGGAGTAAGTAGCCTGACTAATCAGTTGAACACTGCAGAGCATTCTTCTAAAGACAAAATCCTAGTTCAGCCCCATGTATTTTGTGTTGCTGTTCTTCCCTTTCCTACCTCTTGTGCAGGTTTTCTGACTTTGGGAGGTACGACTTTCACATTTGTTAGAGTAATATTTACAAGTCATTATATCAATGCACAGTGTCAAATTTTTTTAGGTGGAGTGCAGTGAAGTAGTGAGTGTTGAATGATAGGAAAGATTGTGAAAATATCAGTGTCTTTTAATGGAATATCACAAAATGGCATTTGCAAAGATGGGGCATTCGCTGCAGTAAGAGGATGTGCACCATTCCTCATACTGTGCCCTTGCAATGTAGCTTCTCTGTAAACATTACATAATAGAAATACCCTCCTTCCAGAAAAAATAACCATAAGAATATGACTTTATTTGGAGAGAGGTGGTTATAGTCAAAGGCACCCTTTTGTATAAAATACCAGGTATTTATGTATAAAATACCATTAAAGAGAACAGGCAGTATGAGAGAGCAGGCTAAACATTCATCAAGCAATTTTCCAGAATATATGCTGTAATATAAATGAATACAATTTGTGTTGCCTAAGTTGTTGTCAAAAGGAAATGCAAAAAACATTCAGGTTGAGGTTTTTAATTGATGGATTTATTAACATTTTAAAGTAAGACTACTTATTGCATTTTTTTCTGATCTTCTTTATATTAATTGATTGCATCTGCTTCTAGAAAACTTGTCTCTGATGTAGTTTCATTTGAACTGAGTGAAGTCAGTAAAGTGTCTGAGAATAAGGAGGCATTTCTCTTTTTCAACTTCTAGCGCAGTCAGCTGCCCGTATTCAGAGATGAACTTGAACAAAGAAAGCCTCTTACCTGACCGGTTGAGCGGGGAGATGCCTGCAGCCAGTCCTGTCCCCAGAAACAGAAAAGTGGAAGCAAGTGAAAGATCCACCTCTCCTGTAATCAAGTAATTACGATTGAAGCAATGTCCACGACTAACAGCAGTACTTTATTTCAGTGTTCTGCAATGTAATTTGTAGTTGTGTAATGGCTGAATGGTTTCAGAAAGGCCTGCCTATTTATCTGCATTTTCTTTGCAGGGAAGAAATGGTTTCATCAGTACTTATCGAAAAGGTCACTGAGCTGTCAAAGACTGATACTGATTTTACTGTGTATGATTTAACAAGAGTTTGGTTTCATCTTCAGTGTAACTATTTAGACTACTAAGTGGTTAATTGGAATTTAAATTGGATTGTTTGCCAGTTGGTTTCACTTAAGAAAATGATTTATTTGTGTTTCTTTTGTTTGCTGGGGTGGCCTTATTGACGTGACTGTAAATTAATGTTGCTCTTTGAAGAATAGCCACTATAAATTCTGTCGTTATTGTGGGAGTGGGGAATCAAGTTACTGGGAGTGAGTTTTGCAAGAATGATGCTAAAGTCTGTTGCTGAAGCTTCTAGCAGGAGCACTGGGAGAAACCAAAGGGATGTGATACCAAGATGATGATTTTCTATGAGAAATTGCTAACACCAACTCCTGTGCTTATTTTGGGCTGTGGGGATACACAGAGGATTTAAGAAGGAAAGGAAAAGAGGCTTTCCATTCTCTTCAAGGGCTGCATTAATGTAAATGTGAAAATGTGAATGTTTGTAGTGAAGATTTCCAGTTCCCACTGTAATGACCACGTATTTTCAATAGATGGAATTTTAAATTACATTCTTGGAGACAGTTTCAGCTTCATGCTTTAAAAACCAAAATATTCAGCTCTCAAAGAGCTCTGCCTGGTTTGATTGTTCTTACAAATGTAGGGTTGTAGAAATCTGAAGTGACTTAATTACCCTCTGGCAGGTAGCCTGGGTACTGTCCCAGTGAAGCCAGTAACAGTTTTAGCAGTGTTCTGTGTGGCAGGGACTGTGTCAAGTGTCCCAGTTAAAAGACTGCATAACATTTTTAAAGGGTCCTGGCTGCACAGCGGTATATCATGGAAGGGAGAGAAGAGACAGGAGGAAAATGATACTCAAGTTTTCTTGTGTTACAAATATTTGAAGTGGATAGCTTATTATCAAAAATAACATTAGGCAAATTCTGTTCCTGTTGAATTGCCTAAACATTTTACCTTTGATTTCATGGGGAAGAGAGTTCTGTATTGTAATTTTTTGAAATCCCAGGTGTACAGTTTTGTTGGTAGCAAGTAAAAACTTCTGTGTATTTCTTAAAACAAACAAACAAAAACCTTGTATATCTTCAATTACACTAATGACTCTTTACCCATAGAGAAAATAAGTTGAACAACAACTCAGCTGCTTTCAGTTTTAAACATTTTGTTAATTTATTTTAAACAGTGACAGAAAATGCCCCAGCCCTGGTCACATAGGTATGAAATCTTCAGCTCACAATCGATCATCTGGGAAAACTGTACCCGAAACAACAAAGCAGGAAGATGCAGAAAGTAAATCTCCTTGCAAGAAGCCCCTGTTATGTGATGTGAAGGAAAAGAAGGCACCTGGGTAACTATCAGTTCCTTTCAAAGTACGGGTTGTTTGGAGTCGGTCAGTTTAAAATGCAACTTACCAGGCAATGCAGTACAGTGGTTTGTCCATAGAAATCTTGGAAGCAGTGGGGAAGGAGATGGAAGTTCTTCAGCTGTCTTTATATTAGAAACGGGGGAAAGGAGTGTCACAAGGTATTTAAGAAATAAGAAATGCCTATCGGAGAGGAGAGGAAAAATACTACAAGACAGAGAAGTTACTAGAAGTTGAGATCCTTCTTCCCTACCTCTGTGTACAAATATGTACATACATTTAAAAATGAGAAGTAATTCGTTAACTCTCAGGATTTGGAGTATATTTTTGACAAAAAAATGACATGAAATAGTTTCCAAGCTTGCACTGGAAAACAATATTTATGGTATAAAAAGGCTATCTTTGAAACTAAAAAGATACAATTCAGTGTTTTCATGGCGATATGTGAGGCAATAGGGTTCCTACATTTTTAGTTACAGTATCAGTCCATTATTTTATTGGCTATTTTCATTCAGAAATAGAAGACACTCTGGAACAAGAAGTGTCATTTGTTATATATTTACACCAGCTACATTATCATGTGTTCATAATATATGAACTGTAAGTGTTAAAAATAATAGTGTCTTGAGAGACTTTGGAGAGGTAGTATTATACGGTAAATACCTCGCAGTAAAGCTGATGATTGAAACTTGACTGTTTTCTTAAGAATCAATTAAATCTACTGAAACTCCTCTGCAAAATTTTTTTTTAAAACTTTTTTTTCAAATTGGGTTAACCAGATCTGGCAGTGTTTTATGATTTCCCCTCCTTTTTCCACTAGATTTTTTTTTTCCCCTGAACTATTATTAATTGTTTCCTTTATTCCAAAAAGCTATGCTAAATAAAAAATAAAATAAAATTAAATATGTAGCTTTTTGCATCTTTTAAAATTGATCAGCTTTTATTTAGAACATTCTTTCACATTATTTCAGTCAGGTGATATTGTTCAAGTTATATTGAAAAAGATCTAGTAGGAACATCAAGCAGTGTTGATATAATTTGCATAACACAAATAAACAACATTCACTAATCATACTCAAGTGAATTTAAACAGGAAAAGAAGGCAAAAGACAGTTTCATGTGTACTTTTGAAATAACCTGTGTTAAATAATAGTTGTCATTCATCACTTTAACCATAGTTGTAGTAAATTCATCTTTTTAGAAATAAACTTTTGACTTTACAGACCATCTCTTAAAATTAATTGAAGAACAATTTTTTTTCTCTTTCATTTTTTTAGAAGGTGTTATCTTTATGAAGACCTAAAATAACTAATACGTGTGCTATTACTGCATTGAGTCATTTTCATTAAGAGAATAACAGTCTCGTGCCAACTTTGAACTACCCAGAGGCTTTGCAGTTTGTATTTGAACTGTTTGAATACACTGATGACTATCTGCATTTTATCATGCAGCTTTTATCTGCAGCTTTCCACATTCTTTAAGTATCCAGCATAGTCAGAGAGGACTTTTAGTTGAAGAAACTTCCTTTGAAAAAGGCATGAAAAATAGTGTTCACAACATTAGGTATATATGAACTGCTAGAGTTATAAAATATTGAGCGTCTGGTTATTGCAATACCCAGTGGATCTTTTTACATGTGTATTCAAAGTACACATGCATAATTGAAGACGTAGATACGTATACTTGTGTGTTATTTAGCTGCTGAGCTCGTAGTGTGGATTTAGTTATGTTTGACATCAGTACAGTTGTGTGTACCTTCATATTCCAGGTAATCTTTGAAGTCCTTGATTGAGGAACCAACCACATACAAGGCCAACCATGAGATTTATTTTGTTGTGTTAAATCTAAGTGGTACTCAGCTAATCTCCCATTCACTTACTTCTTTTCTTTTTTTTTTTTTTTTAACTGGTAAGAGGTATCTGTGCATACAAACAATTATACTAGAAAGTTTTGGTTAGCAAAAATAATGTGTGTAAAAACTGCAGTGTGTCCCTCTGGAATGTTCCTGAGATTAAAATTCAAGATAAAAAGTACATGCCTACAGCATATTCAATTTTAATTTGAAAGTATCTATATACTATCTTCAGAGCAGCAGAAGAATTTCATTGTAATAGGAATTCCACTCTGGAAATATTTACAATGAAGGAAGGTGAACACTCAGGCTTGGGAATCAAATGGTACTACCTCTTAAAAGAAAATTCAATTTATTTTCCAACCCCTTCCCCAAAACCTTCAATTCATGATACTTTCTTGTATTTAACTAGTGCGATAAAATTTCTGGATGTATGTTGCTATGAAAATTGTCCTCAAGAAAATAGGAAGATACATGTTTCCTCACAGGTTTTAGTGATCTCTTGTCTTCATGTTGAATTACAGTAATCATTTACTTTGGCTTCGGAATTAATTGCACTGCTTTTTGCATCTTTCTTTAGAAGTTTTCTGTGTTTGTGAAGGTTAGGAAAATAATTTTTAAGTAAATAAATGCAGGTTGTATTTCTGAGGAAGATACTGTGGAGAAGTCCTTTGTGGCACAAGAAGGCATGCCTGCTGTATGCATTCCACTGGCATTGCTTGTCGTACCATTATTATTTGTCCTACCATACTAAAAAGGCTGGATTTTCCAATTTGTTTTGTTCATTTTGCACTATTAATAGTGTGTTAAATGTATTTCTGTTTATGTCAGTGAACTTGCAGCTCCTAGCTGATTTATTCCCAAATGCTTCCTTGTATTTAGTAGTATAAATTGTATTTAATATATAAGTTGTATTTAATAGTACAAATGTAAACAATGGCATTAAACAGGTCTGTTTCTTCTGTGGATTTGTGTTTTGAGGTTAGCTGATCTTGATGTTTATCAAGGTGTTAGCTCTAGTTTGGCTTTTCATCTGTGTTTGGGACATTTGTAAAGGGATTCTTGTTGACTGCTTCTCTGGTAGATAGTAAAGCATGAGTTCATGTAGTGGGCTTTCTTGTAGTCTTGGCTTTAAGATCATTCCGTCTGGTGCCTATTTTTAGAAAATATTCATTATGTACTTAGTATCTCTGAGAGCTCTGCATCTGTGACGGTTTAGTAAGAATTGGCTGAAGTGTTCTCAAGTTCTTAAAAGCAGAAGGAAATAAATACACACATAATGTCAGCAAGTTCGTATAAGCTTCATTTCTGTAAGAAATCAGGCTGGAAATACCTTCCGAAGGCAGAGTTTGCAGTTTCCCAGGGGCTTGACTGTATGCAAATACACCCACCCCGCTTTGAGAAGTTCTCTTATTTCCACCTCTCTTGTCCCATTTTTCTCAATAGGGGGAAGGTGTTCCCTCTTTGCAAGTGTTTGGGCTGGCAAAGCTGAAGGAGCAGCCACAGGCAGCAAGCAAAGAGCAGCTCTTTTAGCTGGACGAGAAGTAATACAAAACAGTAACAAAAGCATACAGATATTTTCAATGGGATCATTAACAGCTGCACAACAGTGTGTCAGTATAGTACAGGAGTTGGGGTGGGGTGGAGATGAAGGTTGGGCAGAGAAAAAGGAGTAAGTGTTTCAGACACCTCCTGAAAATGGCCTGGATAACCAGTAAGGCTTTGTAGGAGATGCAGCTATATATGTGCTTTTCATTCTTCCCATCTTCTGCCGTGGACACATCCACTGCCTTCATTTTTCCAGTGTGTTTTCCAGTTTCAGTTATGAAGTCAAGTGTGTTGATATGATTTACGTAATCTTAGTTTACACTACTCTTGAGCCTTCATTGCAAAATTCATGTCAGTAGTCACACCATCTGTGTAAGTCAGAAATTAGATCCTCTCTTTTTTGTATTTTATGTTGATGCAACATCCTTTGTATGGGAATCCTGGTGTGTTAATAGCATTGTTAGCATGAGATGTCATCATGCTTAGTGATTTTTATGATGTATTAATAAAAAATGAACATCTTATTTTCCTCAGTGGAGTACTACAAACAAAGGACTCCATAAAGAACAAGGAGTGTGAAGAAGAGGAGACAGAAAATAAGCTGCTCATTTCAAACGAAATTAAAGGTAAATTGGCAGTACTTCATTTCTTTCATATTAAAGTCTGCAGAACTGAAGTGTGATATTCCTTGAAACTCTTCATGAAACTGCGTTGCAATTTATTTTCCACATTCACTATTTCTTGACAGCAACACTTTTAACACTGTGTTTCTTTATCTTGTAAGCATCAAAAGCTTTGCCAAGAACTTTGTCGCAGTTGTAAAGATGAGAGCAAAATGAATATTGGTATAAAAAGTTTTCATTTTAAGAATATTTTTCCACTGACTTTTAAAAATAGGTAATTAAACCAGTCTGAGTTGTAAAGGTATAATGGTCACTTACTGCTTCAAAACTGTATTGAAAGAAAGTTAAAGCATTTACCCATTACAGGCATAAGGCAAAGTTCAGGTGACTTACTCAACCCAACCTCAGTCTGTTGTGCAGTCTGATACTTTCCAGCAGCCCATATGCAGAACGGGCCCTTTCTTTTTCATGGGTGTTACAGAGCGATGGCTAAAATTTTTACTTCACTGAAAAACTGGAGACAATCCAGTGGAAGGCCACCAAGATTAGGTGGTTGAAGGACTTGACATGTGAAGAAAGGTTGAAGGAATTTGGGAAAGGAAGGCTTGGAGGAATCTAATCACAGTTCTCCCGTAACTAAAAGGTAGTTACAGAGAAGATGGAGATACCTTCTCCTCCAGGATGCACAGTGGTGGGAAAAAAGGGAATGGACACAAGCTGCTTCAGGGGAAATTCTGTCTGAATATAAGGAAGAAACTTCTCACCATGCGAACAATTGGAATAGGCTGCCCAGAAAAGAGGTGGCATCTCTCTTGCTGAAAATATTTAGGACTTGGCTTGACAGGGCCCTGGATAACTTAGGCTAATGCCCGTAACAGAAAGTTGCATCATACGGTCTCAAAAGGTCCCTTCCAACATGCATTTTTCTTTGCTTCAGTAATTCTGTGTGGTTGTGTGTACTGCTGTGTCAAAACTCTTGGCTGTTCACTGATCCAGTTGGACAGATTGAGGTAGCTGTTCATTATTAATTTTTATCCTCATTGTTTAGAAAGAACACAGCACAAATCCAGAATGTCATTGTCTTACATTTGATAATTGTTTTGTGTGTGTGAAACTTAGTATGTCAGGCTAGTTATTGGACTGAGTCAGTTCATTGTTTCAGCGTAGCTTTTGCTGTAATAATTTTATTAACTCATGCAAGTTCAATGAGAAGCTAAATGTCTTAATTTCATCATTTAATTCCTTAAATTTTTAGATTTTTTTCTTCAGCAGTTGGTTGTGCAACACAAAATTTGTAAGGCTTTTGTCAAAAATCTTGAGACTTGAGTAGCTGTGGTTCATTAAGGGCTACATTTCTTACCTTTTAAGTGAGCTCATCCTTGTGAAACCCAGGAAATTCTTTGAAACTAGTAGAGCATTGTGTAAAGATAAAATTAAGGTAGTGTTTTATTTTTAATTATTAACCTCTGATAATTTCTTTTATCTTAAAACATCATTTGTCTGCCAGTGCTTTGCAGATAGATCTAAGAGGCACTCTGGAGAGCGTGTGAAGTATGAAAGATTCCGTCTATTACAAGAGCTGTGCAAAAGGTGTAAAAAACCGAGGTTATTACGGTGTTTTGAAACATGATAGTTTGGAATTCTGGAGAAAATGAAGCTTTAAAAGAAGAATCTCTGTAAAGCAGATGAAAGAGAGAGAGTTGTTGGTCATTTGAAGTATTTTGTTTCAGCAGAATGGAAACATACTGTTTTGATGTTGGCTTTGCATTATATAACACAATACAAAAATTTAGTTTTGAGCATTTTAAATTGTCTGCAATTCTTTTTTTTATTCTAAGAAAACTGGCCTGATTTTGTGAAGCATTTTGAGTTTGGCAGAGTTGACTATTTGGATAAAGTTTCACGAACAAGCTCTGCTTACTAGGATACATTTCTGTGTAGGGTCTTGCATAATCAGATTTATAAAACTAGAACACTCTTACGTTATTTTTTAACCAAGTTACCCCTTTTTACCTCCTTCTTATACACATAATTTTGTGCCATTATTTGTTTAAATGTGCCATAATGTTTAATCTTTAGGATGAAGATGGATGGTTGAGTTCTTGTCATCATAGTCATGGAAAGCTCAAGCTAAAATAATTGCAGTTGTGCAGACTTGTGAACTGTGACTGCTGGTACCTATGCTTGTTGCCCTATTTTTTCTGCATGTCACTTACATTATTCTTCTTCAGCCTACTTTTGCCATGCTCACTTGACCAGTTCTCTACTGATACTTTATAAAACGTGTACTGCTATCTTCCCTTTTTTGGAGAAAGATTATTCGGAGCTAAAGAACTCCACTGAAATCATTGCCCCTTCATACTAGCGTTTTTTACAGACACAACTCCTGTGCTTAAAAACTTGATACATACTAGGAGCTAGAACATGCAGGAAGGAATGAACAGTGTTAATGATCTCTTGTTAATGCCAGAAAGTGTTTGCCACTTAGCTTCTTTGAAACATTAGGTTATATTTTGTTGGAAGGTAACTCACTAAGATAGAGATGAATTAAGAAAGGATATGGTTCAGGGAGAAGGATAACAAGGTGGCATTAAGTATGAAGAAGAATGTAGAGGCAGGTGGGCTGATGCTGAAGCAAAATGTCAGCAGAGAACAGTGGTCAGGGTTAAAAGTGTGAACTCACTGCATCTGGCTCTGCTATCTTGCGTGGAGCTGGCAAGCAGATTTTGTTTCTTTACTTACGTGGTTCAGGGAGCTCTTTGTGGCTCTGTGATGAAACTGGCTAACCCATGGTGCACCTCAAGTTACTGCCCTAGTTGTTGGGCACAAATGTATGAAAACTAGAACAGTAAGGATAGGGAGAACTGTGAATAATAGCAACTTCTCAAAAATGGAAATAGAATGGAGCTGTAATAGAAGTGAGCGATCCAAACAAAAATAGCACAGGGGTTTCTGAGTGATTGCATGAAGCCATGTTAGCAAGGAGTATTAGGCATAGGTTCTTAGTTGGCTGTTTCATTCAGAAATGAATTCCACAATTTTAGTCAGCAATTGGGAAGCGTTCAGGCCCGAGTTCAGAGCAGCATGTTGCTTTTGCATTTGCAATGGATCTAAATGAACGTAGATGTCTTACGCAGTTTGACATCAGTCGAGGCATGCCTCTTCTCTCTTTCCTCCTACACACATCTGCAACTGCTGCTGCTCTCCAGACAGCAACAGCAGCATGTGGCTGAAGCCATCCTCCCACTGGTACATTAACTTTGAAGCCAGTGGGATGGGGGCTCATTCCTTCCATTATGGATAAGTGAGATAAAAAGGGAAATGACCTTGTAAAAAACCCCATAGCAGCACGGAGGAGTTAAATGTTATTTTCTGAATAAAACATTCAGTTAAAGTGGGAGCAGGGAATTTGCAGACATTTGTGTTTTTTCCTCAGAAGAACTGAAAAACATTTTGTTGTGGATGAGGCATAAATGTTGTGTGGGCTGGAACTTTACAACTGATTCACTTGGAATTTCGTAGCAGCGCAGTGCTGCTTTTGATGAAGTTACAACAGCTCAACCCTGGAATTAAGTTAGTTCTTGTACTACTGTACAACTATTAAATGTGGGTGTGATTTATTGTATCAAAATATTTAAAATTATTTGACATATGGTGTGGTATGCCAACAGTTGTGTTGGCATAGAATTGTGCTCTGTTGGAAGAGACTTTTTCCATGTAAGAGTAGTTACATTTATATAGAGCCAATATAATCGCAGTCATACTAGTGGAAGAACAAGTCATGGTACTCCTCTAGTTCTGGTGTACCATACAGCTTGTGTAGGGAGGCCCACATATATATCAATAGAAATGAACGTGCTTTTACTGTGACTGATCTCATCACTGACTGAGGGATTTAATGCTTTTTTGTTGCTTCCTGTTGTTGAAGATGTTGAAGAACCCAACACGCAGAGGCTTCTTTCTCAACCAGTTATTGTGTCTTCCAAGTTGCAAATCCCTGGCCTACCCTTGCGCTGGGAACAGCAGAGCAAACTCCTTCCAAGTGTAGCCGGGATCCCAGCCAGTAAAGTTTCTAAGTGGAGTACAGATGAGGTAGGTTTTCCCCTGTATCTTCTATCTCACTGCTGCTGCCCTTGAAATCTTGGTTGATTCAGAGCTTTAGATTAGCCCCATAGGTCAACAGTAAATCATTAGTACTCAGAGGATTAGTCAGCCAGACCTAATGTAACAGATCCCTAAAATGCCTGTTCAGCTGCCATCCAGCCCTGGAAGCAGTAAGTATTAATTCATATGTGTATAGATAGGTATAGATATCGATAAATATGTATGTGTATATATAGCTGTAGATATAGATAAATATGTATGTGTGTATATATATTCACTGGGGTTAAAAAGGGAAAGAAAAGTGCTAAATACATGGCCCTGCAGATCAGGTGCTCAAGGTCTACACTAATAGTGTCTAGCACCCACACAAACATTCTGGAGGAATGGTTTAGGGGTCAGCATGGACCAAGGAGCTATTCCTGGTACATAGTTTGGATGTGGCACACTTTTGGAGAGTGAGAATATAGTGCAGAGAGGAACGGTATGGATATGGTCAGGCCATGATACCTAATTTCAAGATTAGAGTCCTGTCACTGTTCAAGTATGTAATAATGCTTGGACAGACAGGGTCTAGTCCCTACTTTACTTTCAGAAGTGCCTATGACTAAGGCAGTTTTGTGCGCTGGGACAGTCGGATCTCCTCTAATCAGAGAAAAAAGAAGCATGAACTTTGAAAAAGGATTTGCTAATCTCTGTGCTGTAAAGAATAAAGAAGAGGAAGGCAGCAACCATTTTGGTTTGTGAGAAGTGATTCACCAAGAGAAGATTCATGGTTCTGGATCTGCATGGATAGAATAACCTGAGTAACTTTGAGCGAGTAGCCATATCCCACTCTTAGATGTCCTGTGGACAAGAGTGGCACATGCTTTTTTAGTTTGCAGATTTTGTGAATCCTATCCTTAAACACCCAGCTGCATGACTCCACGCACTTACAGAAGAAGGTGGAACACCTAATATGAGGCTGTAAAAACAGTAGCTAAAAAACTTTAATGATTGTCAACCTTTAAGACCATTTTGAGAAAACACTGGTCTTACTAAATCTTTTGTTGTATACTTTGGTGGCAGGTCTCTGAATTTATACGGAGTTTACCAGGATGTGAAGAACATGGCAAGGTGTTTAAAGATGAGGTGGGTGAATTTTATTTCAAAAAGACACAGAGTACAAAGCTTGGTGGAAAGATTAGTTTTATGTCATCATTAAAAATACATATAAAGTAGTAGGATGAAGTGTATATTTAATGTCAGATGCAAATGTATGGAAGATTAGGTGGGTTTGCAGGTCATGGAGCGGGAAGGAAGTAAAGAAGATAAAACTAGCTAAGTGTCAGCCAGCTCTCTCATGCTTCTCTAGCTTTGTAACTGCAACTGAAATGACTTAGAACTAATGGTAGAAGAGGAGGAATTTCGTGATTAATTGCTGTTCTCTCTTAATCTGGTTTGAGGAAGTTTGTAAGTAAGTATGTTATTTTAGTTCTGCAGGATGTTAATAAGTAAAATAGAGCAGTGGTTCAAGACAACCACCTCTTAAAACTCTTTGCATCTTGTCTGATCACACTTAGCTCTTGATGCTCTTCCTCCTAAACTATAGCCAGTTTATGAATGTGATTTGAGTGAGTGGGAAGTGAGAAGATCTGAAGGCTTCTGATGAGGTTCAAAGGAGTGTGTACTCACTTTGTGAGCATGCCAGACATGCATTTCTGGTATCTGAGAAGATTGTTGTGCCAAAGTTGTCATTAGGAAGTGATAGGGCTTTTAGGTACAATAGGCTTTTATAAAGTAGGTTGACTTTTTCTTTTCCGCTCAGGGGTTTGTTACTCCTGTTAATGCTTAGTTTCAAGAAGGCTATTTGATCACAGATTGCCAGAGTGAATACTTCAGATGCTTATCCCAGCCAGACCACCTGAATGGGCAGAGTCTGATACTGTAATATCCCAAGTCAGCCAACCTTTCAAGTGAAGAATAATTGTGGTACTTAGACTTGAGAAGGCACCTGCTGAAGCAAATGCATACAGATGGCCCTGCTAATCTCCTGCGACAAAAGTTTTCAGGCTGTGGTGTAGATTGTAATGACTGTTAAAGTTGCATATCAATGGACTGACAGGCTGCATCTCGGCATTTGCACTTGCTTGGATGTTAGGCATTTTGCAGTTGCAGCAGGTATGCAGGCCTAGATCATCCTCTGTGTCACTTAGGGTGTCTCATCAGTGAATTTAAGATCAATAAGAGCTGGCGTATTGCTAATCAAGTCAGCAGGTAGGAAGTGCCACAGAGATGGATGAATCCTAAACACTTTCATTCTCAGAGGTGTAAGAAAATACTTCCCCTCTTTAGGATTCAGCCTCTCAGGCTTTGTCTGTGAGTAGTAAATGAAACCTCTCCCACTGAGGCCAACCGGCATGGACTGGCTGGCATCAGTGGGTCTTTCAGTAGGTAGAAGGTGCTGGTTCAAACTTCTGCTGTGGAAATGAACCCTCATCCTGCTTATATTAAGATGCTGCAAAAAGCTGGGCATCCCCCCGTTTGCGCACTTCTGGTTCTGAGCACACTCAAAGTCTGGCTTTGTGCACGAAATGAGTAGAAAGTAATTGTGGTAACTGCGTGATCCTGTTCTCACTGCAGTGTTCCTCGACTTACGGTGCTGGGGTGTACCTTGCAGGCTTCCTTTGCAGCGTGTCTGATTCAGAAAGCTTGTCTTCTAGTCCTACAGAAACTTAATTACACTGTTTTTGTCTCAAATTACTATCTTTAAGCCTAAGCAGTGCTCCTGATTTAACCACAGTTGGCTTTTAGGCCTAGCTATCCTGCTTACGTTACACTGAAAACTTACTATAGACACCTAAGTGACTTGAAGTTTACACAAGAAGTGTTGGCCCTTGGAAGTGAGAGCCTTGTGGCTCTTCATGTTCGGATTTAGCGCTCCTGCTGACAGAGCGATTTTTTTAACGGGAGAATATTCACTTGTAACATTTATTAAAATAGCAACACTACAAAGCTGGCAGAAAAAATATTCAGTGTTTTGAAAAGTTGTGTTTGTGTCAAAGAGGCAGTTTTACGTAGCCTGGCCCCTGTTTACATCTGGGACCAAATTCATTTTAATTTGCTATTTAATGAACAGAAAGGGGTGGCCTGGAGGGGGTTCCAGTTCTGTAGTTGGGAGTGAAATCCAGAAGCTTTCTTATGGAGGCCTGCATAAAAGGAGTGGCTAAGATGTTAAAAAGCATCACTGTGCTGCAGTACAGCTGAATTCTACTTCATTTACCCATTTTGCTTTTCAGTAGCTTTTACTTTATACTGTCAGTATGGAAATAAGAACTGGTTAGCTAAAAATTAGCCAGACAGTTGTTTCAGAGCAGAAGGATCATCATCATCATCCTCTTCTTTTGGACTAGCTGATCTGTCTAAAAGGTTGAAATCAAAGCTATCCTGAAAGGATTTGAAAGTGTTTGTGTTCAGCCTTTCCTTTACACTGTCTGAAATTGCTGGGAATTTTCATGTTCTCTGAAACATCTATACTGCTGCACTGTCAGACCTATTAATAGCTTTGTGTGTTTTTTCTTTTAAAGCAAATTGATGGAGAAGCGTTTCTGCTAATGACCCAATCAGACATAGTCAAAATAATGAGCATTAAACTGGGACCAGCCCTAAAAATCTTTAATTCCATTCTGATGTTCAAAGCTGCAGAGAAAAACTCACACAATGAACTTTGAAGATAATGGAAGATGTGTACGAGCCAGCTTTCTCCACTGGAGCTCATGTTTTATTCAAAGCACAAAGACTTGCTAGAACTGTTGAGTAAGAACTCTCAGAAAGGAAGAAATGTACGTTCAGCACTGGTGGACTATTTATATTCTCCTAGAGCCAGTACACATCTGAATCCTTCTGGGAAGTGTTCAAGCTTTTGAGAAGGTACTGTGTAACAACTGAGTCAGCTAGTCTTATTTACCAAACTAATGGCGCTAATTCTCCATGGATGGTTAGGATCCCTAACTTTCTCTGGACATCAAGAAAACCTTCATTAATTATTTATGCTGTATTATATAAGGGAATGTTAATATTTTCTAAGAATTCTTGAATTCTACTTCATGTACCCATTTTACTTTCCAGAAGCTTTTACTTCATACTATCAAAATAAAAACTGATTAGCCAAAAATTAGGCTACAGGTAGCCAGATGAGACTGTTATGGCTAATACGTATTTGTGCCATAGTTTAAAAATGAAACACTTAATGTTACATACGTGACACTTTATGCTACAGCATATAACTTTACAGATTATAAAACTGTCTGTTTGCTTGTAACAAAACAAAACAAACCTTGTTGGGGTTGAAATTATAATGCTTTTTTGATAACTGAATGTTTTTACTTTTGCACGATTACAAAAATGTTATGTGAGTTTTTCCACCAGCATCTTTAATGTATTTTACCAAAAGATCAATATAGAGAAGGCTGCAACTGAAAAATAAAGTTTGACTTCATAGAAGACTTTTTGTTTATGCTGCACAATAGAGTCCCAGCCTTTTACTTGGGAGCCTGCTACAGTCCTTCAGCACATGAAAGAAAATACGTATATTTTGAGGTGAGGATATTAGCAAAAAAGAAAATACATTCATTCATGTCTGCACATGCCAGTCTCCAGTATAGTTACCACAACAGTGGAGAAAACCAGTGTGCTAAAGCTAGGACTGCTGTTCTGGCTTCATATTCAGCGTAGGTTTGTGTTCCCAATGGTGGGAGAATTATTTCACCCACCACTTCCTAGTTGGAAAGTCTGATTTATAAATGAATAAGGCATGGGGGGAAGACAAAGCACGGAGGAAAAGGATACTTAAACGCATATGGTGCGTCAGCACATGCGTTTCACTGGGTCATTAGCAGGCTGCAGATGCCACCAGCAGGTACGTAGGTGAGGCAACCTTCTTTCTTGGAGGATTATTGTAACGATTATTTGTCAGGGAAAGTCGTTGCACTTGGTATGTATATGTGAGATGTAAACCAGATGCACTTTAAATGGGAGAAAGCCTAGCTACCTGTATACTGAGGACTGTTCCAGAATGTTACTTTTGCAAGAAGAGAGACAAGAGTTGGCTCAAGATTTTTGGCAGCCCTCTTCTTAGCACTGCGGTGGGCAGTTGCTCAGCCTTTAGAGCATTTCCGTTGCACAGAGCTGGGAGAATTTTACATCTTCCCACAGATTTTGCTAGGCTGTTCTTTGGCTGGAGTTCCTTAAGATTTCAAGAACTCTCTGTGCCCCTTCCAGATCATGTAGGTGACTGGTACCTGCCATAATATGAGGTGAAACAGGGTCAGTATGAAGTAAGTTGCATTGCTCTGTTAATTTCCTTCCATAGCATTGCATAAATAATATTTTTACATTTTGTTCAATATTTGTACATTCAAATTGCACTCTTATTGTACTACAATACAAATAAAACCTGAACTGGAGCCGTCTGTTACATGTGTGTGTGCCCAGGATTCTCAGATGAACCCGGCTGTTCCCAAGGGTGGTGTGGAGTAATTCCTCACTGTAGCTCGATGTGGCCATGAGTTTAAAAGAGCAACTTGGCTACTGCTGTCTGCCCTCTCCCTAAACACTTACTCCTAAGGCTCACGGGCCGCTGCTGTCACAATCAGAATCCCATTTATGGACCTGGATTTTGTCACTGGCAGCAGCTGAAGTTGCCCATGCAGATCAGTAAAATGCCAAATTCTTCTGTTTTCTTTCCTTCTGTCCTTCCATGTAGTTTATTTTCCCTCACCCTCTGTGTCTCTCTCGTGTGCCAGCTCTGTAGCCTGCAGTGAGAACCAATGAAGAGATTTGCTGTTCAACAGAGATTACTTGGGGATATTAGCAGCTCCCTGAATTTTTATATACCTACTTACAAAGTACTGTGGTTTAAGAAATGGGTTTGAATTAATACCGTTTGCAAGATGTAGAATAAACCTCACTTAAATGATACAGAGCCCAACTTTTTGTTCGTACAGCTCTCACTTACAACAGTCAGGACAGGCATAATCCTTACGTTTGCATCCCATGTGATCAGGTAGCAGGGTATAGCCACCTCTCTCACAAAAACTACAGCCAACAAATTCAGCTGGAAACTAAAAACAGTCAGGAGGCCTACGGAATCTTTAAGACGGCAGTTGGTATTGTTTTGTATGTTGTGAGGAGGTAGCCCAGCTGTCACACAGGTAAAGGTTGTCCCCTGATTTCCATGGGAGCCACATGAAAAATCCTAAGACTTTAGCAAGAGAGCCTGGTCATTAAATGCAGCAATTCCCTCATACTGCAGGGTCTCCCACTCTAATCTCTGCATTGGAGTTACCCCTGCACAGCCAGGCTTTAACAAAACTTCTGTGGTCCTCCAAGCTGTGTGTTTAAAGAATCATGGTGACCACAAATGCTGCTTTGCCTACATGGACATTTTTAGAACTGGTGGGAGATTGATCTCTTCAGTAGAATGCAGTGTTTTAATAAAAAGCCATTTTAATTTCTAATTAATGTAATGGGTTGTGTTTGCTGGCTGCTGCTGCTACTCTCCATTACTAGGAGCTTGTCCGAAGTTGTGCACTGTCGAGCAGTAATCCCTGGGATTTCCAGACATGCAGGAGTTAAGAGGAGCGTGTTAGGGAGAAGAGGAGGCTGTGGAAGAAGAGAGGAGAGGGCCTCTGCTCTGTGTGGGCAGATAAGAGAGTCACCATGTGGAGAAGGCCAATTTGTTCTGGGGAACAAATTCAGAAAGAAAATGAGGAGTTCTCTCCCCATTGCCAAAGCTGTGGTTGCAAACACACATGGCTGCATCCCAGATAAGTCATTCTTGCTACTTTGAGAGCTCATCTCAGAATTCCTATTTAGCAAATTCAGGATTAATGTTAAAAAAAAGAAAAAGAAAAGATTTCATGCATGGAGAAATGAAATTCATCATCCTGCACATTATAAATCAGGGGCCCACCATTTTAAAACACAAAAATTATTACAGTAGGCTTTCAGTGATCGCAATATAATGAAATGATGTTAACAATTAATTTGTGCCACTTAAAAACATTGAATGTATTAGCATCTGAAGCAGCGAAGCGCTCACATTAACTCACAAGTGTTTTTTTTAAATTCTGACAGTCAAAAGACTATCCAAATCTTTTAAATGCTCCATATAAAAAAATAATACGACACATGCAGTAGTCTAGAAAATTTTATTATCTCTACTGCCTGTAGACTGCTCTAGAATTTCCATTTAAAATAATGAAAATGCTTAGGTTTTACATTTTTAAAAAAGTAGCCAGTACAATAAAAAAAGGACATTATTAAACATAACAGAGTTATAAATATACATACACTTTCACCAGAAAGAATGGCACTGATTTATCTTCACAACAAAGGGACTTATTTTGACAAAATGTCATGTGCTCCTGAGGAGGAGTGCTGCGTACACCATCAGGTACTGGGATACTCGGGTACCTCCAGCTGTCTCCTTACCTGGGCGGGCAGGGATGCTGGGCTCCTCACCTCAAAGACCAGGGACTCCAGGAAGTTGAGCGTCCTGTGGATTCTCTTTGGGCAGGGGATATCGAACACGTGAAATGCAGCCACCAGCGCCGCCAGGGCCATGGTGCAGTCATCGAGCTGAGCTAGCTCTTCTCTTTCTACATACAGTGCAAACTCGCATGAATTCACATTGAAGGGATTTTTTACTTCCAACACTGGTGTCACCACCTTCACCTAAATTAAAAAAAAAGGGTATTTCAAACGATGTCACAGCATCGCTTTGGTGAAGAGGTCGGAGAAGTAAGTAAGCATAACACCGCTTTGAATTTAGCTAGTATTTCTATGAATATTTGCCTTCTACCCAAAAGGCAGGCTAATGTCATCCTTTTCCACGTGAGCCACCAAACGGCCAGGTGATGTGCCCAGGCAGCTCATAGGAGGAAGAGAGACCAAGACTGTCAGTGCTCTGTCTCCTACCTCCTCGTTCACTGCAGCAAACAGACTGGAATCGTCTCCAAAGACATCTGGCAGGAGTAAACATGCAGCAGTCATTTTCATATCTGTCAAAGGCAAGGATTTCTGCTAAATAACAAATGAAAATGTTCTGGCACTGCAGTATCATCCTGGAAAAGCAGATTGCAGCCTATGAAATGGTTAACAGCTCAGCAGTGGAACTGTTGTTTAGTGTATTTTGAAGAGTAGTTTGTACCACAGTGAAGGTTTAGGTGCCTCAGCTGGCAATGGGCAGTAGTACTCAAATCATTCGTGACACTGCTACTCAATATAACAATTAAATTTCTCTCACAATAAGTAAGTAGGCCTTTGGGTTGCTTCTAGTGGAGTTTGTGAGCTGAGTAACCCTCCTGCCCCCATCGCCTGTGCCCAGACTACTCCCTCCCCAGTAAATCAGCTGTCTCTGGGGAGCCCTGTTGCCAGAGGACTCCACTTTGAAGGCTGCAGTACAAGCTGGTGCTGCAGGACCTCCTGGGATGTGGTAGCCACCACCCCTCTGGTTCAGCTATTAATGACTGTAACATCTTTTTTGCAGGTCAGACTTCTGGTGGTGTGCGTTTCACTGAACCTGTCCTGTCAGGCATTTATTATCTAGGTGCCAGGTCAAGTTGTTTGAAAGAAAAAAACAGGAAAGTAAAGCCTTTGGGGCTTTACTAAGGTATGAGTTGAAATCTTTGTGGGCATATTGTCTAAGAAAAGGGGAAATTACTTGCAATGTCCATATTTTTCTAAGGCCAAAGGTATGAGTAGAAAGTCCATAAAGGCTTTCTGGATTAGGCTGTTCGTTGACACTTTTTAATCTATCATGAGCTATTGAGTACTCGTGTTTTTAAGCTTAAAGGAAGAAAAACCCAGTATGTTAATCTACTCTGCTTACTTCTTTAAGAAACGACCCGGTAATAAAAGGAGTGAAACTGCTATAGGAAACACACGTGTTCATACTGTGTCGCCTTTGATTTGACACCCTGGCATTATGCTTGTTTGATAGAAAATGTCAGTCAACGGAGCACTTCTCACAGAGCTAAGCTCAGGCATAGGCGTCTACAGCTGCAGTTTGGGAAGAAGGAAGATTATGAGTAACTCCTTCAATGTTTTGTCCCTGCAGAACCGCACTCCCAGACTTTTCAGACTGAAAGAAGTTGAGTGGTGGCAGGTCCTTGCTCCCTCGCAGCCAGCGAGCCAAACACACCCAGGTACCCGGACCTCTTTGCATGACTGTGGTACCTGCTCTCCAGAGGTACCAGTTTGTGCACTTTTTCCTGCAATGTGTCTCTGCAGAGACGAGGTACTTGAAGTAGAGGTAGCGGTAACTGCTACTTCTGTTATTTCACTGGCATGAAGGCTTCACTCATAGAAACAGTTCCTCTCTTTCTAAAGGAAATAATCTCTTTTTATGGGACTATTTCTCTTTCTAAACCAGAAAATTTGTTTTCTGTATGCATTTTTAGAAAATAATAAGCACTTTTTTACGTATCTAGAAATAATTCTGCTCATCTTATTTTAAGGCAGTTACTAATTTTATCAAACCTGCAATCTTTTGTTCAATAGGAAAAAAAACGTTTCAATAACTGACTGACAATTTTCCTAGTAATTTATTAGCTTTTATTCTTAATGCTTCCCCATCACTATATATTTTTCAAGCAACTGTTTAAAACATTTTAAAATGTTTTTGCAGTAAAATTAGAGCTAGTTTAGTTACATAAGTAAGAACAATTAGCTACAACAAAACTCTGATATTCAGAGCATAGGAGATTTGTACTGACATTTCAGAATGTCTTCCTCTGTGTGCCGCTTCAGATTTTCTTGCAGCATAATGTTAATTGGATTATTTCTCACCACATACAAAGATAGTATGTTTTCTGAGTAAATCTCCAAAATCTCAACTGTTTTCTTATAAATGTCCATGTGTGTGAGAAGCTGGAACTCCCTAAAAAGCTAAAAGAAAAAGAAAAATTTGGTATTATTGCAACCCTCAAAACCAAAACTGAAAACAACACGAGGTGCACGCTTTGAAGACAGGATAAGGCTAGCTCAGTAAAATCAGGTTATAAACTGGAGGGGGTGTTTCGTTTCTTTTCAAAGCAGGGAAGAAATACATCAAGTAACACCAAAATACTTCAGAAAACCCACTGGTGGTGTGTGTGGCATGTTTAACACAGGACTGGTGAATCTTTTGAAGTGGGGTTAGCAGCAAAAATATGAATTAGATTAAAGAGCACAATGTTGATGGATACTTCACCGGAAATATCCACTAAAATATGTGTCTACAGTTGTATCACATCTGTAACATAGAATTCAATGTCATTATTAAAAATAGCTCTGTTACCTGATAAGGGCATCTTAAGAAAGGAAATAGTCTAAGAATGTCTTTTAAAGGTGCCTTATTGCGGATCATCTTCCTCCGTATTTCTATTGTCACATTCATTCTGTCATCCACTTCTTTCCAGTTCCTTTGAGTTTTCATATATTCTTGCTTAAGCCACTTAATGTGTACACCCATTGCACTGCCTTCACGATGAACAGGTTCTTCCTATCAAGAAATGAAGGACAGAATTGTAACAAATCAGCTAGCATTTTTATCTGTTGTGGCTTGTGTGATTTGAGTGTAGTCAAAGTGTAAAGCTCAGCAGAAAGTACCTATAGTGTGGTTTCAGTACCAGCTCTGTGAACTCACCCTCGTAAACTAATATATTAAGATCTGTTTTCATATAATACTATAGCTATCAGCCAAGTCTCCCAAGCTCAAATTATGTATTTGAGGATATTCATGAAATTCCTATGCCTGAGTCTGGTTTGCCTAATTGTAGTTTATTGGAAATTAGTAGGCAGTTCTAATGATGACTCAGTGTTTAGCAATATTAACTCTGTATTACCAAGAGAAATAGTATTTTCTTCTTACTCATACAGGTCCTAAAAGCAGGACAACTAACTTTCACATTTATGCGACTGAAGTATTTACCCCCAAGGAGACCAACTGAACTAAGAAAACTCTTAATGGAAAGCATTATTTGAGCAGTTTGACCGTTAGTGTTTTCAAAGAGCTATTTTGGACTTGAAGATTGTTAACAGTCTTCCTCAAAATTATTATTATTGTCCCTGCTGTAAATCCAAACCCAGTAATTACTAGGAAGAGGAGTGGCTATGCAAAGCAGTACATCTGTGGCAGTGGCCAGAGGACGCAGTGAACTTGTCCATTGAAACAAGCTGAGACAACATACAGATGCACTGTTAGTACAGTTCCCACTCTCAGGCTGCATTTACACTGGCTTTTACCATACGTGTTGTCACTGATGCAGCTGTCGTCTATGTCAGTGGTGGCCTGTGGGTCAACACCAGAGCGAGTTGAGACACTTCATCCTGTTCCCCAGAACATTTAAGACATAGAGCTGCAAAACGTACAACATCCACAACTGCTTCACAGTGCTCTGTATGTGCAATTAAACTTTCCAGTTTAATTAACATCCTTTTTTAAATTGTGCATGTGGTATTCCAAAAATGGTTGCACAAGGTACACAATTAAAAAACTCTCTCCCTTCTACTATTCTATCCATGGATTTCAACAGCCATTGGTATCACAGAAGAAGATGAGCCCTGTATGCAGGACAGTTACCTACTGGGACCCCCGCAGGTACTCCCCCGGCCCTTGCTAGGATGCTGTTTCAGCACAGTCTGCACTCTTTCTAATAGAGGATTGTAGTCTTAATTGCATTACAACAGTAGTGTTTGTTTGTGAGCAGCTTGAGTAGGCATTCCTGTCCTCTTCCGCAGTGCACAGGAACAGAGGTGGTGGGTCGGGTGATTTAGTCCAATACCCTCCTCTACCTGGCTGAGAGGGGTGCTGGGAAAAAGTGGCAAGTAAGGACGACTGCGTAGTGGTACTTCCCCTGAGTCCTGTCAAGACTCCACTGAACTGGGGTTACGTCTTCATAGTTAATAGCCTTCAGTAGATTTTTTTTTTTTCCTTCCATTACTTCTCTCCAGTCACTTTTCCAACTCTCATGAAATCGTACCTTCCACAACAGCCTGCGTTAAATGCGGCAGTTTAACTATGCCCTGTCAGAAGAAATGCCTTCTTTTGTTTGTTTTCTCCTGCTGCTTCTGCCTTCTAGTTACCGTACTGGATTCCATACCTGTTCGCCATCTCCTTGCCACTGTAATTTTATAACTATGTCATACTCTGACCTCAGCCACCTCTTTTCCAGCCAAGGCTGTCCTAAGCTATTGAATCATTCCACTTATAAAAGCTGGTCCATACTTTCAATTATCCTTGTTACTGTCTTCGCATATTTTCTAATTTCACTACAACCTTTATGAAATGGGTACAGTTAAACTTCAAATACTAGCTGAGATGCTGGGACACCACAGGTGCATACAGTGGAATAATGTGCTCCCTTTTGTTTCTTTCTTAAATAATTCTGAGCATTCAATATACTTTTTTGGACTGCTGCTTAGCATTGTGCCAAATTTTCTTTGGCATAATATAAAATTATCGTTCGTGAATGGTAATAATAAGCTCAGAGCCCATCACTGTAAATGTTGTTAGGACTGGGTTTTCTTCTTGGGCCTTATTTTACATCTATCACTATTGAATTTTATCTGCTGTTTTTTTGCCCTGTCACTCAGTAGCATGGGGTCCTTGTGAAATTCTTCAGTCAGTCTTTGTCTTTAGTACCCTTAGTAGCATCACCAAATGTGGTCAGGCAACTATTCTCCTTTTTCCACATCATTTAGAAATTTATTGAACTGCATAAACTAAGCATTAATAATTTTTTCCAGATTTCTGTAAAAACCAACTATTTCTACTTAGCCTTTTTTGTTCTATGTTTTAACTGTTTATGCATGCAAGGACTTTCCTGCTTATCCCCTCAAATTATATCCTCTAAGAGCCTTTGAAAGGCGTGTGGTGAAATCTCTTCTGAAGTTAAAGTAAACTATCAGATGGATTTCCCATGACTTCAGGGTTGTTGAATATTTCAAAGAACTCATGAATTTATGAAGAATTACTTCTGTTTACAGAAACGCCATTGATTCCTTCCCAATGCGTTCATCTCTTGGGTCTGCATTACAGTTCTTGCCAATTTGGCCAGTAAAGACAGCAGGTTTCTTGGTCAATATGTTCCCTAGCTCTCTCCTGAAACTCTAGAAACTGGCATCAAATCAGCTACCTCCAATTTTCTAGTATCATGTTTCATGAGAGAAACTGCACATCACAATTAGAAAATTACCTATTTTATCCTTGGACACATCTGAAAATTTTGCACAAATCTCATCTGGTCCTGGGAATGTGTTACTGCTCACTTTTTAGTGTATTATTCTGTAACCTCTTTAGTGACACACAATCTGAGCCATATGCCTCAACATTGCCTATGAAGAATGGTCCCAGTAACGTGATTGCCGGAACTCCTCGTCTGAGAAGCCTTGCAAAGTCTGTCTGTTTTTTCTGGTACGGCTTTATATTCTGCGAGCACTCCTGCACCTGGAGAGTGCATCCCAAAGCCTGTCCCTTAGCGGCATCAGGCTTCCTGCTTCTCATCTGTTTGAAAAGCCTTTATAACCAGTGCAGAAAAGGCAGAAAACCACAAAAACAATTCTGGGTAAATCTCCAGTGGATCGCTCACAGTCATCCGAGTCCTGTTTTACTGCTAGTATATGTCATCTCTGCAAGCTCCCTGCCTCAGTGTTTGGTATTTTCTGGTATCTGATTTATATTGGTTACTGACTGTGAATACTATTCTGGTATTCACACATCCCCAAGTGGGCCGTTCAGCTGTGCCTTAACCTGTTAACTTGCACTAAGTTGGATGGGCTATCTCTTGCTTCGGCGTGACCACTGCACAAAAACAAGTGTTGGTCCATTCTTGTCAGTCTCAAGATGCTCGTGCTTTCTCACACATGCACACACACAAACTTGGACTGTTGTTTGGGGCTTTTTAATTACATTTATGGGTTTTACCCTGTGCAAGGGCTAGTTTGAAGTGTCTGACTCCAAACAGCTCTGTTACTACTGGCTTCTCCCGTGGGTCTGCTTCCAAGCCTTCTGCCTGTAGAGCAGGAGCTTCTTCAGCCACCTGATGTGGAGCACAGCAGCTCATTTCCAGAGGGGCCATCACCTTCAGTGCCTTACTTGCAGAGGCAGGAAAGCAAAACAAACTCAACCCAGTGTGCTGTAACCACAGACAAACTGGCTGGGTTGCTTAGAAACAAACACCCAGGAGAACAAGTTGTGACCTTTACTCCAGCTTATCTCCGTCCCCCTTGTCAAGGCAAACACTGCTCACGTTGATGGACTTTCCATGTAGTCAGCTCTGTCCTTGAGAGCTAGTTTAGCTAATGACGTTATTAATTAGCTAAATGAGACCATTTGACATTTTGTAAGCACCAATGGCAACCTACCAATAGAAATACGGCAGTGGTATAAGGAAGAATTGCTGTCATACTTATCTGTTAGGGAAAAAAAATGTGATGGAAGGCCAAACTTCATTGTGTAAATCATCCACTACATATGAGTAACAGAAGCAAAAGTCAGTGGTAGAATTGGTTCTCTTGCAGCATTCAGCCTGCTTAGAACAATCACTATCTGTAAGCTTTTCACCTTTTTAAGCTGCACTTCTAGGCTGAAGAAAGGCATTGGTAGTTCTGAACTTCAAGCTCTTTAACATAGCTTGTTTAAACTAGTAGTCTATGTAATGGATATACACACCCAGCCATAAAACACATCTTAAGACTTCAGTCAAATAATAGAGCTCCAGAAATGTACCAAGTCTGTAGTAGTACCGTTCGGATACCGATTAACAACAGTTTTCTACTGGCCTTAGTAGCCACTGCTGTTTCAGAGTTTACTTCTCATTTATTAAAGTGCAGTGGAAACATAACAAATAAAGTATCTTGAGGATGGGTGATGGGAAGTATGATGTAAAACGCTTGGGCTGTTGTAAAACTATGCTTGCAATGAAAGAGCAAGCAAATACTGAGTTCTAGGGTTGGCATTAGCGACCAAAGTTGCTATGGTTTTGGGGACTCCTTGGCTTTAATACAGTGGCAGGTCTGTGCCTGTTATGTCTAATCACTTCATTGCATTTTGTCTCTGGACAGTTTCATTCCTACTAGGGAATACAAACAATATACTATAGTATATAGTGCTATGTAAATATAGATTAGCTGATAACTGGGAGGATGGATGTAAATCATTGCATATTTCTAATTCCAACTGATTTAATGCAAGTGCTGCATGTTTTTTGGTCAAGAACTGAACAGAGCAATGGGACCTCACTGGTACATTAAGTCGAATTATTATCGATTATCTTTAGCAGAACCAGTGTGGAGTTAAAGAATAGTGAGCTTAGATGTTTGTGGATAAGTAGCTGTTTTCAGTCAACCTAGCCGAAAATCTGAAAGGCAAAAGCATTCTCATTTATGTTGTGCATTATTTCTAAGGATAGTTTCATTCAAATAAAATCTGAAGGTTTTCGATAGAGCAGGAAAGTTTGGCAACACTTGAATTTTACACAAATGATTTATTAGATTCTAATA